AGGAAATAGCGAGGGTTGCATTGAAAGGGTCCTTCCTGTCCACGACACGCGATGTCATATCACGTTATTGAGAGCTACTTGTCACTCCCTGCTTTGCCGTCATAGCAGGACGGGTACGTCCATGCCGATCATTCAATTAATTCGGACCTCACGCATATATCGGCGATCATCGTTCGCAAGCTCCACACGACTAGCATTGTCATTTAATAGAGATTTCCCAAGAGTAGTGTTTGCTATCGGTTTCGTGTTCGTATTTCTCAAAAAGCAAATACGGCTGGTGTTTTACAGCAAATAATTAAAAAAACATGCTATTCATTTTCAATTATATTTTACACATCATATATTTCGTATATAGCATAACAAATAATATTATGTAAAATTGTTGTACAAAATAATTTTAATTTTAATCGTAATAATTCGAAGAGAGAGTACATGAATATATAATAATAATAATAATAATAAATCAATATATTAATAAAACTATTTTCAATTATTTTTACTTCTACTGTTTTCATTTATTATCTCTCTTCTATCATAAATTTAAAAATTCTATGTAAATATTTAATAATTTTATTGTTTATTCTGATGAAAAAAATATATACTATAGTAAAAAAATATAATACTATAGTTTCTGCCGAATGAAATATATTGAAACTTATACCTTACTTAAATTTGGCAAATTTCATGTAAAGATTTTTTTTTTTTTAAGTTGCTTTTCTTCTTACTTTTAAAAAATTACACAATCTTCTGTGATTAATGATCTCATTAATAAATATTATGCATTTTTACCGTTAAATATATATGATTGTGTCTTTGTTGTCTTACTCGTTATTTTTGCGGAAAGTTTTCCTTTGAGGAATATTCGATTCTGGAAAAAGGGAAGAAGTGGTCATCCACGTGACCCTCGAACTATTGCCGTTCCTATCGCATTCGGTGCAGTCCAGTTTCATTCGAGCGTGATATAATAGCACATAGAGAGTTGAACGTGCCCGACCGTTTGACTGGCAGCAGTGCAGATTATTGGCCTCGTGGGTCACAGGCCTTGTACCATTGCCGTTAGGCGTTCATTTATAAATGTCGTAGTTCTGACAAAGAAATTGATTACGATTGTAGCAGATAATCATCGATACTAACTCTCGTTCAGTGACCACAGTGTTTTCTGAACGATCACGCAACGCGGTGGAACGGGCTTACAGAGAAACGAAAGAATATATACTTTTTCCGCTTCTCTCTTCCATGTCTTTTATGTGAAATCAAGAAATCGTTGCCATTTTAATATAAAAACCGATAGCGATAAGCGGATTTCGTCGCTGTCTATATTAAAATCTATTCTTTAATTTGATCCTTTCGCGCAAAAGTCGAAGTCTCTCTCTCTCGAAATTTATTTAATATATTATAATACTCAGAATTTTAATCAAATTTTAAAGCAATAATCTCATTCTTTAAATATTACCATTAATACATTTTAAAATAGAAACGGCTGTATTTAACAGGAAAAGCAGCTTTGCAAGTGTTGTAAAGTTCTTTAATATGATTAATTTTGTCTTTAGTTCCTTACTGTATCTAAATAAACTAGTCTTTAAAGAATCTTACAACAAAGCGGCTTTTTCTGCAGAACGTGTAGCCAACGTTAATATAATTGTGTAACACGATTATGTAACAAAAGAAATTTTATATTAAACTAAATATTACTAAAATAGTGGAAAAATTTAAAAGCAGTATTCAGAGTTTTAATCAAATTCTGAAGCAATATTATTTAATCGTTAATACATTTCATAATAGAAATGGTTACGTTCAGCAGAAAAAGCAGTTTTGCAATTATTGCAAATTAAATTTTTTATGATTGATCTTGCCGTTAGTTTCTCACTGGATCTAAATAAACCAAACACATAAAAAAATCTTAATGAGCTGCTTTTTCTGTTGAACGTAGTCAATATTAATATAAAAGAAATTTTGCGCTAAAATAAATATTATTAAAGTATTAAAAAAATTTAAAGACAGTATTATGAAACATTCTCATTAAAATGACAATGTTAGAAAATATTTTCTATCGTTAAAATGTTTTCTTGAATTATTGACAAGAACTGCGATAATACAGTATTAAACATAAATTCACTTTGAACAATTTATAATTTATAGCAGAATTTAGCATAGAATTCTATTTATAATTCGATATTCTGTAAAACATGAAACTAATTAAAATCTCAGAATACACACATAATCATGCCGTAAATTTCAATACAATTAATTAAGTAGATAGAATATAAAACAATAAATAAAATTCTATCTTGAAATCTCTGACGCGGATTTATAGATCGTCTAAAGTGAGCTTAAAAGAGAATCCCGGAACAGTGAGATAGAATCTTTAGAAGCCGGAGAACGGAGAGCCTTCTCATTCGGGGTTTAAGAGAAGAGCCTTGAAAGTTTCCTTGAAAATTCAGAAATTCTCAAATTTTCACCAGAAGATTCGTGCGAGCAGCCGATTCCTCCTCGCAAGGATTCCGCACCCGCTGTCGCAAAATGAGACCGATCCACCCCAGCGGCTGTTGCATCCTGACGTGGTCCGCCGGCGCTCTCTCCTCTCTCGCCGGCTAAAATTGCACGTTGCGTTCGGCGGAACGGTGGGGGATCAAGAAGTCCCGCAGGTGGGGAGAAAACGAGACTCTCGCCGGCATTGCCGGCGGCGGAGTAGGGGTAGCGTAGTCGCGAAGAGTAGACGAGTGGGGGCTCCCTCTGGTGGGTGTCTCGTGTCAGTCGAGCCGTGTGCCGCGTCGCGGTAGTGTCGCGCAGTAGTGCACCGTTTCGCGCGTTCCGTCGAGCCACGACGATGACGTCTTCCTCGTTCTGACTATGAGCGACGCGCGCGCTCATCGCGAAGATCACTGGGCACGTTCATCCCGTTCGTCGTCATCGTCGCCGTCATCGCCACCGGCGTTTATCTCGATTCGCACATCGCGGGCCGATCGGGCAAGCCGCGCGTCAGGGATACCAACGGACTTTCGTCGTTCGTTGCCGCGTCGCCGTGGTTTTTCGATCCTTCGAAATCTTAACGATCGCGATCGACCGGACGATCGTTTTTTCCAGTTCGCGTCCCAATCCATTCGTGTGTCTGTGCGCAAAGGGGGAAACTTCAACGCGTGGAATAGCCGACCGTGACCGTCGCGAGTGACTGCGCCAAGTTCTACCGAAGGAAGAAGCCGCAATTCTCGAAGAAACTGCACCGGCGGAGCGCCGTCAGTTCGCCGTGTTGTCAGTAGGCGTCAGACGCGTCCGACTTTCATTTTCTCGTCCGTTTTTGTGTACGTAACGGATTTATCGGAAACGAGTAACCGAGGCGGACAGCTCGTCGTTCTATCGCGTGAAACGAAGCCCTAAGTGACGGTGGCGCGAGTTTCAAAATCGTTGCGATAGGAAGCGAACGGAGGGTCGCATCACCGGCGTTGCCAAGTCTCGTGCTTTTAACGGAAAGAACCCGAAGTCTCGTCCGTCTTCATCGACATCTCGACGTCGATCTCGCGCTGATCTACGGATCGTCTTCCATCGAGGGGGAACGTCGGATATTCGACGGCAGGATTTTACACGGGATTCGCTCGCGGGACCTTTCGCGAATCTTCGTCAACGGTCATCTCCCGGATTTCTTCCCGTCGGAGCCCGCGAGTTCTCTGAAGTTGGCGGTTTGTCTCATTTTGTCACGATAAGTACTGATGCGTCAAGTTACAAAACTTGGCACGCGCGAATTGTGATCCTGAATTAAACTAAGCTAACGTATTTCAGTTTCACATCGTAACGCTTCTTCTGTTTATCCGCAAGTCTCCGGCCGTATCGAAGGCTCTCTCGAAGGCAGGTGCCATAATAAAAGAAAAAGACGTTAAATACTACGAAATAGTGCGTCGCATTGGAGCCTCCTATTTTCCCCGAGGAGGCACTCTTTCTGCTCCGTTTTCAAGTCATGGTATTGCGATTTTGTTTGTGGATTGGATATCCATTCTGAAAAAAAAATAAGACAAGAAGAAGAAGAAGCTCGTCTCGTTTCCTCATCGATCGCCGATCACGTAATTCCGGTGACGCGGATCAGTTGATAATCTTTCGCGAGCGCGCGGTGGTGTAATTTTACCGATGCCCGAGTATTGCGATAGCGATAGACTTAAAGAAAAAAGAGAAACCTGCCTAAGAGAAACGAGAAGACAGAAATAAACCGCGTCATTGAGCGGCAACGTGTCGGATTAATTTCCAAGAGCGCGGTGCACAGAGAGGAGCGGAAGGTGCGGAGCACGACGGGATTTATCGAGACTCGGGTCTGCCGTCGTACGTACCTGAAAGGACTGTCTGTCGCGTGTGTGTGATCCCTCTAAATTTCTCTCCCCCCAAATCTTTCCCCGCCTATGTTTCACGCGCCGCGCGAAGTAGAACGAGATCCGACGCTTCACCCTCGGGCTCTCCGCAGTGCCGTTCCGTCTTTGCGTCTATCCTCTAGAATCCGCACTCGAAAACCCGAACGAGAAAGCACTCCGGGCACATCGACGAGACGACAAAGCGAGAAAGGAAGGGAGACAAAGGGAGAAGAGAGAAGAGCAGCGATCTCGAGTCTGTCACCCGTGTATCTCATGATGAGTCGAGGAGCGGTACATGTCAAGCGGCGAACGTGACCGCCGCAAATTACCTCCCTCCCCCGTCGACGCCCCGCGTGTCCCAGGGTCGCCGGCGAGACGACCCTCGTTAATACCGCAGTCGATCGTGAGAGGAGAATGTCGCGCTAGGAGAAGAGGACCCCGATTTACTTGCTGAATCGATCTACTTTCGACGATCCTCCCCTCGATGGACGTTACATCGTCGACTGGAGGGCGACCTCGCGGGACGGTAGTAGCCGCCGACGAGTACAGCGGATAATAAGGCGGGATCGTCGCGAAACGGAATCGTCGGAGGTGCGACGAGGAAAAACGGCTGCTGCAGAAGGAAAGACGATTTTGAAGAGAAACAAACGAGCGGGGGCGTAGTCGTGGCCCACGCGCGTACAACGTGAGAGCGTCAAGATGACCATGGCAAGCAACATCGTGGTCGAGTGGCTGCGGTCGCTCCACCTCGGCCAGTACTCGGAGTCGTTTATCGATAACGGCTACGACGACCTTGAGATCTGCAAGCAGATCGGCGATCCGGATCTCGATGCGATCGGCGTCTTCAATCAGAAGCATCGCGCGCGTCTGCTGCAATCGGTGAAGACTCTACGCGAGGAAGGCGCCGCGAGTGTATACTTCACGCTGGAGGAGACGAACGACAACAGCTGCGATAATATCAGCTCCAAGTCGTCGAGAACGTCGTCCGACAGACCACCCAGCGATAAGGAGGCGCAGCGTGCGTCGCCCACGGCCAGCTCCTCCAGCGGCGGTCAGGAGCTGACGAAGTTCGCGGACGAGTACGAGGAGGGCAAGGCCGAGCTGGTGAGAATTCCCAGGATGCAACTGAGGATGCTGCTGCAGGAGAAGCTGAGACACGACGGCATCAGGCTGGCCTGTCAACCGTACACCACACCGGTAAGTCAATTTACTTTGGAGGGAAACTCCGTTACGACGTGTAGTCTGTCGCAAAAGAATACAGATATCGACGAATATCGTATAAGTTGAAGTCTTAGATTTGGAGAACGATATTGACGTCGAGATAGCAATCTCGAGTAACGAAGAGAAAAGTCGAGCCAACAGGATATGTTATTTTGCGAAGAAAAAAAACGTTCAATTATTATATATTTTTTAATAATACAATATTAAAATGAAAAATATTACGAAATTAATAAATTAATTTTCGATTACATTTATATTCGTTTGAAATGACAAAATCAGTTCGATTTACTTTTCGAAATTACTAATTCACGAATTTACGATTTAATTTTCGAACACGGGAATAATTCGTATTTGGTTAAAATGAGATTAGTATAAAAGCTCTAGAATATAGTTTATATATATTTATGTAAACGCGCGTGATATACGCGCGCATGTACAAGTATCAAGTTTATAATACAAGTCTAAAGCATACAACATGAATTATTATGTAAATTAAATTGCATATTATATGACGAGAATAATATGACTATACGTATAGTAAAATGAATATTGTGTGAATGATGTATATTTTTCCTAAGGCTTTGTATTTTATTGTCTTTTTTACACAACAACGGTATAAATAGCCTATTTACGACTTAACGTAAATAGATAAAATTATCTCTTTAAGAATATTCCATCTTTCGGCTAAACTTCGCTCGCTATCTTACTCTCTTATGCTCTCACTCTTTTATTTTTTTGTTTATCCAGTATATAAATTACCACATTACCTGAAGATGGAACAACCAGCCCTAAAATATGTAATTTTTAATAACATATTAATCTTTAAAATAAGTAATTTTAAATACAAGAGGTTTAAGCCAATTAGAACCAACATTAGGTGACTGTGTGTTCAGAATTTATGATACATACAAAAGAATTTTTACACACCTGCTAATTATTCTCTAATTGGCTTAAACCTTTTATATTTAAATTTATTTCTTTGAACTCCTGTATATTTTCTATATTATATGTGATTTTATCTATTTACGTTACGTATTAAATTAAATTGCTAATTAATTCCAACTTCGTAAACGATAATGCTATCTGCTCTTCGTGAGACGCCCGACAATGTGTCGCGAGCATAATTCTCTTCCATTTTCCCCACGTTATCCACGTCGACGAGCACGCGTCGTCTTTAATACATTACGATACGCATCGCGATTAGCCACGACAATGATACTCGAATTATCGAGTGAATTATCGGACGAGCATTCAGGTGTGCCAGTCACAAGGGGAGGGGGTATCTGAGACGATGATAATGCTGAAAACTCGCAGCCCTCACGTGGCACGCCCTACGAGCGTAGATAATCCCCTGATTCATTATTTCGTTGCATTAGCCACCAGCCGGAGATAAGAACAAGCGTGCCATGTTTTACTCTGCCTCCATGCACGTTCTTATTCTCCTCTGATCCTCCGACAAGATGGTCGATCATATATTACATTTTCACTTTTCTTATGGGTCTAATTTCTTAAGAATTTTAACGAAAGTTTTAACGTTCAACGTTTCTACGTTACTTACGTGACTTTTTTAATGCGATTACTCGTCCAAAGTGTTTCTGACACTCCATTATATCTCAATTTTCATTATTCTCTCTTATGATTTACGATTTAAATAAAGATTAATAATATTTTATACATCCTTTATATAAATGCAAAAATTTTTTTAATTGTGTAATATAAGAAGGGTACGACTTTTTGCAAACTGGGATCGTTTTATTTCTACATTTTCTTATATATTTTTTTTTCATAGAAACCAAAAGTTATAATAATGAACGTTAAACTAAAAAATTGGTACGAAGTTTTAATAACTGACAACGATTTCATAATAATGTAAATAAAGATTTTATTCTTTATTTCCGTTTACCAATTTTTTGCTTCAGTGTAGTTATTATAATTTTTGTAGTTATTATAATTTTCGCGAAGAAAAATTATATTTAAAAAAATGTAGAACGGTCGCAAAAAAGTGAAAATTGCACTCTCCTTTGCGCTAAATAGAATAATATAGAATAAATAGCATGCATACATTTAACAAATTAAGTGGGAGTGTTCTCAATATTCTAGAATAATGAAGGATTAATGTAATTCTGACGAGAGACAAACAATTTTAATTTTCGTTCGTTTTAAACATATTTCTTTCTAACTTATGTATATATAGGTATGGTGTTACACGTTTGCTTCGTTCTTTATCACGTGTCAGCATGTTATCACAATGTAAAGTTACAAATGCATCTTTGCATCTCGACCTTGTTACATTTATAATGTAGTGTAAAACATATTTTCCATGCAGTTGGTCTAATTAAGGTACGGATATGACCGCTAAGGGACTTTCTGTCAGTTGAAATACATTTTCTCCGGAAAACTTTCACATGTGTTACCGCGAGGTAGGAAATACCTACACAGTAGAAGCTTCACATTCGCGAGGTTTATATTCTATAAAATTGCAGGGAATATGGAAATTGTGAATACGAAAAAGAAAAGTACGAATATAAAAAGATTTAAGGTTTTTGATGAAAGAAAGAATATATAACAAGGAAAAACGCGTTCAAAAATGAGAAACTCATTTTTATTTTATCGTCTTATCCGGCTCTGTTGTAATTTAGTGCAGTCAAGAAACAGAACAGGATAGAGAGAGGCAGGTACAGAAATAACGTTGCACTGAATTTTATATATGTTCTGAAAACGGATTTTTAGTATTGTATCCTAAAAAGAAGTGAATATTTTTCGAAAAAGGAAAGAAGAAATTCTGAGCTCAATGTAGACAAAATAGTAAAATTTAAAATGGACGCATTACACAGAAAGGACTTTTATTGAAGTATCTAAAAATTTAGCTACATTGAAAGAAAAGATTGGCTGCAACAAATTAGATGGTAAAATATGGCATAGCATTTTTAATTGATTGCAGCAGCCAATTTTTGATTGCAGCAGCCAATCGAAATC